TTAACAGAGGAGGAGGCCTCAGATTCCCACTTTCAAAAACATATAATAATAATAATAATAATAATAATGTCATCACAATGTCAGCACTGTATGTTTCCATACAATGGCGAAATTAGTCTCTGCATTTAACCCATCCACCACCAGGTGGTGCAGTGGGCAGCTATTGAAAGCGCCCGGGGGACATTTTGGGAATTAGACGTGCTGCCCAGAGACGCCACGTGATGTGCAGTGACTGGGGATCGAACCTGGGACTCTCGGGTCCCAAGCCGGCTGCCCTGCCTCTACATAATGCAACTTTAAAACAGATCCCCAGCCGGTTTTCACACCTGATGGGAACAGAGGGGCCTCGACTGTGAATTAGAGGAACAAAGACCTACTGTTTAGGTTTTTTTAGGTGTGAACTGCCAATCTACATATACAGTATGTGTGTGTGTGTGTCTTATGTGTGTGTGTCTTATCTCACTCAGCCTTATAACCTGTATCTCTCACTCTCTGCTCTTTGAATTGAGAAAGCTCCTCGGATGAGGAGCGAAACGTCTTCTGTTACAAATAAAGTCCAGTTGTTTTTGTATTGAACGCTTTTTGAACTGACTTCATAGTCATGTCATCTGATTTGCTGCTGTTTGTTTTGGACACTCGAGTGAAGAGAGGAGCTGTGCTGTCAACTGATCACAACCTGGTAGTGAGTTGGACCAGATAGCAGGGGAAAGATGCCGGACAGACCCGATAGACCCAAACATTTAGTGAGGGTTTGCTGGGAACACCTGGCAGAAGAACCCTTCAGAGAGATCTTCAACTCGCACCACTGGGGGAGCTTTAACTGCATCCCAGCTGAGGTGGGGGACATTGAGTCCGAGTGGGCCATGTTCCTCACCTCACTTGTTGAGGTAGCTGCCTTGAGCTGTGGCCGCAAGGTTGTCGGTGCTTCTCACAGAGGCCATCCACGAACTCGGTGGTGGACACCCTGGGTTAGGGAGGCTGTCAAGCTGAAGAAAGAGTCCTATCAGGCCTTGTTGGCTGGTGGGACTCTGGAGGCAGCTGAGGAGTACTGGAGGGCCAAACAGTTCACAGCCTTGGCTGTTGCTGAAGCAAAAGCTCAGATGTGGGAGAAGTTTGCTGAGGCATTGGATATAGACTCGATCAGCTCAGAGAAGATTCTGGCAAACCATCAGGTGGCTGAGGAAGGGAAAGCAGCACTTTACTAATACTGTGTTCAGTGAAGGTGGGGTGCTGTTGACCTCAACCAGTGATGTCATCAGGAGGTGGAAGGAATACTTCTCGGACCTTCTCAATCCCACTGGCACGTCTTCCATGGAGAAGCTGAATCGGGGGACTTCAGGGTTAGTCTCTCCATAACCGTGGCTGAGGTCACCGAGGTAGTTATAAAGCTCCGAGGCGGCAGGGCTCCAGGGGTGGATGAGATTCACCCTGATTTCATTATTGCTCTGGATGTTGTGGGGCTGTCTTGGTTGACACGACTTTGCAACATCACGTGAACATCTAGGGCAGTATTTATTTATTGTAAAAAAAGATTACAAATAATTTCTGACCCAGATCCAGTTGGGCTTGCTGTTAATCAAATATGGTAGTTTCTTTGTTGGCTGTGAGCTGTTCCTCTCTGATCGCCATCTTTGCTCCTCCATGATGAAACAGATGTGAGCAGTGTGAGCAGTGGGCAGGATCGAGTGTTCACTCTAGTTGTTTTGTGCAACTCTATGGTACAGTCACAAATGATCCAATAAACAGTGCACAGTTAGAAATGAGGGACTGGCTGAGATTGAGCTCAGGCCTCAAGTCGACTCAGAACATTTCAACACATGCAGCAGCATAAAAGAAAAACTCACCCAAGACTCCTGGTAAAGAACAGTCAGCAGGTACATGGCGTAGTCATAGTTTTGCTGTCTCAGAGGGCAGCTGGCAAAATGGAGTGTAAAAAAACAAAGTTAGATGATGGTTGATCATTTTGTACCGTTTTTAGGAGGCAGTGTTCACCTGTCAGTTGTGATGGTGAGGATATCAGAGTCCTTGCAGTATCGCTCCCCAACAAGTTTGAGCATTTTCTTCCGTGCGTGGTCATCCAAGTTTAAACTGGACAGCTTTACCTGGAAGGGCAATGATACGAGATGACCACAGAAACCTTTAGGCAGCTGCAGTGTTATGTGCCATATGTCATTAATATTTCTTGGCTTCATCAATTCAGACTCACAAACACTAGCAAACAATGTTTTTATGTAATACAGGTTGTGTTGATCCGACACCAAGGTCTAAAGGTTCTGGGTATAAAAATGTGCACAGAGACAGTAAGGTGTTCTACCTGAATCTGCTTCTGCCACAAAATATATATATTTAAATATTCTTCCTCATTACCTTTATCTCATCTGAATAACAACAAATTAAAGAAAACCTTTTGGGGTTCATCCCTCGAGGATTCATTGTTTCTTGTTACCTAAAAGCGCGGACTTTGTTCACGGTTCTGGATTTTGTAGTTTCAAAGTTCATGTTATTTTCTAATCCATTTGAGATTATTGTTGGATTCCTACCTTGCTGATATAATCTACGGCAATGTGTGTAAGGAGCAGATGGCTGTTGATTAAAGGCAAATATGAGAAACCATTCATCAAAACAAAAAAAACTTTTCAATGACAGTTTATAAGACTTCCACTGATATGAGAGAGCAGAGATTTTCTTGTAATTTCTGTTTAATGTAGCAACACTTCTAATAAATTAATCATAAAGCATCTTTTTTTTCAGCGGATGAAACAAAGATTTTTTTAGCCACTATAAAAATTGTGTTTTTCTATAAGTTACACATCTGTATCATAAATATACACTTGAGCTGTTTGTTTATGAGGTTCAAGGAGTGGTTGTTGTATTATATTTTCTATCTGATATCTTAGTTCAATAAAGCATCTTTACTCTTATGGAATTTTAAGTGTGTTGTGTTTTTCATGTGTGTCTCCAGTCTTAAAGACAGATTGCATATTGATGGATTATTGGTGGAGGGAGGATTAAGAGCAACATTAAAATGTATCAGAAAATCTGTTAAAACCTAAAGGTTTTGCTACTTTTTTCCTATACAAGTTGACAAAAAGAAAATCTAGAACTCTAATAATCAAAAATAAAAAAACAACAAAAATATCATGTACTGTACATGTCAGGAACTATACTGTTCAGCTTCAAAGCCCAACATGTTTGAGAATGATAAACTCAAACTCAAAGTAAATTTTATAGCTAAGTAACACGTCCATGCTAGATGGTGTAAAAAATTAAAAAACAAGGCCACTCACTCTGAGACAAACAACACGAGCTGCAGGGTTTCTGACAGAAGGACCTGCAGATACGTAGTCTGTGCTTTGCACCTTAATAGGAAAATACTTGTCACATTTATCATCAGTGTCCAAGGCTGAGGGCCACTCTGTACAGAAAGCTGAAAGCAAAAAGACATTTTCATGTAAACTAAAAAAAATTAAAAACAGGTTTTTTTTTTTTTAATCAATATCAACAACATGAATATTTTGGTAAACACCAGAAAGTATTAATCTGCTTACGTTTCAGAGCGTCACAGTGTTTCTTGACAGCTGTTGGTGTCAAATGCAGAAAGTTTGGTATCTGAAACAAAATGAATGAGAGATCATGTAAATGTTTTGTCTTGAAGACAAATAAGCAAACAAGTTTTTAAAAAGTCAGATAATACATCAGGATTGTTATTTATTTCATTGTCATTTCAGAACAAAATTCAAAATCTTATATCTAACCTACAAAACTCTCAACAACCTGGCTCCATCTTATATTACAGATCTTATTGTTCTATATTTTCCTAACAGAGCACTTCGCTCTCAAACTGCAGGTTTACTTGTGGTTCCTAGAGTTTCCAAAATCAGAATGGGATGCAGATCTTTCAGTTATCAGGCTCCTCTCTTGTGGAACCAACTTCCAGTTTCTGTCCGTGAGATTGACACATTGTCCAGTTTTAAGACTGGGCTTAAGACTTTCCTTTTTGATAAATCCTATAGTTAGGGTTGGCTTGGTTTCTTAGATATGCAGCTATAGACTTAGACTGCTGGAGAACAAACTGACCACAATTCCTCTCTCTGCTTCTGTCTTTACTTGCTCTACTCTACCTATTTGTTTTTGTAATTATTGGAACATTGAATCAAATCCTGGCCGGGGGCGTTTCTGGGTGGAGTTTGCATGTTCTGTCCGTGCATGTGTGGGTTTTCTCTGGGTACTCCGGTTTCTTCCCACAGACCAAAACCATGCATGTTAGACTGATTGGTAATTCTAAATTGTCCCTAGGTGTGAGTGAGAGTGAATGGTTGTTTGTCTCTAAGTGGCCCTGTGATGGACTTGCGACACGTCCAGGGTGTACCCCGCCCCTCGCACTGTGATTGCCAGACATGGGCACCGGCGACCCCCGTGACCCAAAATGGAAGAAGCGGGTAAAAAGATAATGGATGGATGGGTGGATGGATGGAACATAGTATTCTGTACTATAATTTTGTGGTAGAAGGTGTATATTGGTTGACTTTACTAAAACCAGGTGACAACCACAGCTGGGGCAACAGCACCACCAGCCTGATCAAGAAAGCTCATCAGAGACTACTTCCTCAGGCGGCTGAGACGAGCTGGCCTGGGGAGCTCAGTCGTCACCTCCTTCTACAGGTGCGCAGTGGAGAGCATCCTGTGCTCCAGCATCAACGTGTGGCATGGAGGCTGCACAGCTGCAGAAAGAAAAGCTTTGCAGAGAGTGGTGAAGGCTGCACAGAAGACTGTTGGAGTCAGTCTCCCCACCATCACAGACATCTATACCTATAAATGCAGGAAGAGTGCTACCTAAATCACGAAGGACCCCACACACCCAGCACACACACTTCTTGCCCCGCTCCCCTCAGGGAGCAGGTTGAGGAGCATTAAGTGTAGAACCACTAGACTGAGGAACAGCTTCTACCCTGAGGCTGTTAGACTCATGAATCTCTAGTCAGGATAATCACTGAAAATATCACATCATGTTGCTGCTGATCTGTTTCATGTTGTTGCTTATCTGTTTCATGTTGCTGTGTTCATTCGTGCTCATCTGCTCACACAGTCTCATGTTTGTGCTGCTGTTCTATTGTTTTTAATGTTTTTAGTCTATTAGTGCTGAGCATAATTTTAGTTAATGATTTTCTTAGTTCATATCTTAGATCTTATTACTGTTTTTCTTTTACATTTTATTGTGGGATGTAACTGGGACCCTGAGAACACAATCTCGTACCACCACATGTACCACATGTGGTGCGAATGACAAGGAAACTCTGACTCTTGTTTTAGTCAGGCGGTGAAAAAGTCGAGCTGACTTTGTGTGATCAGTGGTAATGGACTGTAGTTACAGGTCCTTCTCAAAAAACAAAGGTAATTATTTTCCATAATGTAATGATAAAAATGAAACTTTCATATATTTCAGATTCATTGCACACCAACTGAAATATTTCAGGTCGTTAATTGTTTTAATACTGATGATTATGGCATACAGCTCATGAAAACCCAAAATGCCTGTCCCAAAAAATTAGCATATTTCATCCCACCAATGAAAGACAAGTGTTTTTAATATAAAAAACGCCAACCTTCAAATAATCATGTTCAGTTATGCACTCAATACTTGGTCGGGAATACTTTTGCATGAATGACTGCTTCAATGCGGCGTGGCATGGAGGCAATCAGCCTGTGGCACTGCTGAGTTGTTATGGAGGCCCAGGATGCTTCGATAGCGGCCTTAAGCTCATCCAGAGTGTTGGGTCTTGCGTCTCTCAACTTTCTATTCACAATATCCCACAGGTTCTCTATGGGGTTCAGGTCAGGAGAGTTGGCAGGCCAATTGAGCACAGTAATACCATGGTCAGTAAACCATTTACCAGTGGTTTTGGCACTGTGAGCAGGTGCCAGGTCGTGCTGAAAAATGAAATCTTCATCTCCATAAAGCTTTTCAGCAGATGGAAGCATGAAGTGCTCCAAAACCTCCTGATAGCTAGCTGCATTGACCCTGCCCTTGATAAAACACAGTGGACCAACACCAGCAGCTGACATGGCACCCCAGACCATCACTGACTGTGGGTGCTTCACACTGGACTTCTGGCATTTTGGCATTTCCTTCTCCCCAGTCTTCCTCCAGACTCTGGCACCTTGATTTCCGAATGACATGCAAAATTTGCTTTCATCCGAAAAAAGTACTTTGGACCACTGAGCAACAGTCCAGTGCTGCTTCTCTGTAGCCCAGGTCAGGCGCTTCTGCCGCTGTTTCTGGTTCAAAAGTGGCTTGACCTGGGGATTGCGGCACCTGTAGCCCATTTCCTGCACACGCCTGTGCACGGTGGCTCTAGATGTTTCTACTCCAGACTCAGTCCACTGCTTCCGCAGGTCCCCCAAGGTCTGGAATCGGCCCTTCTCCACAATCCTCCTCAGGGTCCGGTCACCTCTTCTCGTTGTGCAGCGTTTTCTGCCACACTTTTCCCTTCCCACAGACTTCCCACTGAGGTGCCTTGATACAGCACTCTGGGAACAGCCTATTCATTCAGCATTTTCTTTCTGTGTCTTACCCTCTTGCTTGAGGGTGTCAATGATGGCCTTCTGGACAGTAGTCAGGTCAGCAGTCTTACCCATGATTGCGGTTTTGAGTAATGAACAAGGCTGGGAGTTTTTAAAAGCCTCAGGAATCTTTTGCAGGTGTTTAGAGTTACGTCGTTGATTCTGATGGTTAGGTTAATAGCTTGTTTAGAGAACCTTTTCATGATATGCTAATTTTTTGGGACAGGCATTTTGGGTTTTCATGAGCTGTATGCCATAATCATCAGTATTAAAACAATTAAAGACCTGAAATATTTCAGTTGGTGTGCAATGAATCTGAAATATATGAAAGTTTAATTTTTATCATTACATTATGGAAAATAATGACCTTTATCACAATATGCTAATTTTTTTAGAAGGACCTGTATATAGCACATTTCTATCTCATCAAGATACTCAAATCTCTTTACAGCACAATCCGTACCTTCATTTACCCATTCATACAGCACTACTATATTTATACAAAGAAAAATCAGAGATTTAGATCACATTCATACTCTGATGGGACACACATCAGAGGCAATGAGTGGTTCAGTGTTTTCCCCAAGGACACTTCGGCATGTGACTGCTGGTGGAATCAAACCTCCAACTCTCCCATTGGAGGACGACTGCTCTAACCACTCAGCCACAGCTGCTACGATGCTCTGGTTAGAATTCAGAATAAACTGGCTTTAAAGAGTATTGTAGAGAAAGTGGAAGACAAAATCCCCTTGGATCTTTTGAACAAGGGCAGCACGGTGGTGCAACTGGTAGAGCTGCTGCCTCTCAGCGAGCAGGTCACTGGTTCAAATCCTGTCCTGGGGGCCTTTCTGGGTGGTTTGCATGTTCTCTCCATGCATGTGTGGGTTTTCTCCACCACTCGTGTGGTTTCCTCCCACAGACCAAAAATATGCATGTTAGGCTGATTGGAAACTCTAAATTGTCCCTAGGTGTGAGTGACAGAATGAATGGTTGTTTGTCTCGTTTGTCTCTATGTGGCCCTGTGATGTACTTGCGACCTTTCCATGGTGTACCCCGCCTCTCGCACAATGATTGCTGGACCTGGGCACCGGTGACCCCCGTGACCCAAAATGGAAGAAGCAGGTAAAAGATAATGGATGGATGAATCTTTTGAATAAAGAATATTATATAAGACATACAATATGTACATTTCTTATTCAGAATTCAAATTAAACTTTGCATAGAGCTCATTAATGGCACAAGATTGGACAAAATTTCATCCCCTGGTTTAGATTTTAAAAGTTTGAGGTTTTAAGTGTCGAACAAGAAAAAGCTACGAACAGCAGCAGTTTAGCTTCTCAAGGCTGAGAGCATGAAACCAATATTGTTAGGGACACCCGGCAGAGATCCAGCTGTGATGGGTGTAAGTAGTGGATCTGCAAGTGGCTTGAGTCCAGATGGAGCAGCTGGTGTTTGGACAGAGCTGTTCAGTAATCCGCCCACAGACAAACAGTCATGAGAGCCATGCAGCAAGGCAGAAAAACTCCATTAGGACTGCAGGAGTATTAACCGACTACAACAAACTCAGCTCGTCAAGACGTCAGGCTGGAAATCCAAAAACCTTTCCATTTATCAGGTGCAATCTGCATTTGTCTTTAGAGATTTTAATTGTTTTCACCACGTGGAAATCCTTTTAAAAATAAAAGGTATTGCTTTCCTTTAAGGAATGCATATTTGCCATCATCTCTCACGCAGAGTATTAAACTAAAATCAACAGTTCAAAAGATGACAAAGTTATAGCTATTTCAGACAAACAGAACAATATGTGCAACCTCATGTGAGGCTTGATCTTTTCTGTTCTGTTAGCGATGGGAGTTTATGTGATGAATGACTACTGCCACACAAAATTTTAACTCAATGACTAAGATTTACGGTCATAAAACAATTTATATGTAGATTAGTTGTGGTAGCCATCTTAAAATTAGTTGACTTCAAAGGTAATCAGTTGTAGATGTATGGCCAAGTATCCCTTTCTGAGATGTCAGTGTTTCCCTACCATTATCCAAGGA